CCCTACAAAATGGACCCCTCCACTGGGAAGAAGAAGAAAACAGGAAAATAAAACCCAAGGTATTTGGTGCTTCTTCTGAGGGACAAATACTGTCCCTAGGAATGAGGGTGCTGAGCAGAAATAATGTTGCCAAAAACCTATTCTGTGTACATGTGTGCAGACCTGGAAAAGCACAGCATATCCCCATGGAGAGTGTGTATGAGGAAAGCAACCCTTAGATCAAGAGAGGTTAATAGACTTTTGCTGCATTATTAAGTCTTAATTTCTCGTTTATTAAGCGGATGTTATGTTCAAAGTTGTCTTTCCTTCAGGGTTTTCCCTGCAAATTGGCTCTCAGCTCTGTGTGCTCCATCCTGGAGCATAGATGCCCTCAAAATGACCCTTCACCAATCCCTTTGTCAGAACTAAACTGGAGCAGAGCTGCTTTTTTTATTAGGCTCCAGGGGGACTTGGCTGCTCTGTAGGTTGAAAGTCATCAGAGCTGTTCCTCATGTGGCCAGGTGTGAAAATACCTGTTGTATTCAATTGGGCTAGCCTGATCCATCACCCAGCCTCCTGGGGTCCATACAACAGCTGGCATTTAAAAGCAAAACACTTTCCTGTGTGTTTGTCACTTGTTTGCAACCTAATAAGACATCCAGCTAAGTTTACAAACCACAGTAATCCAAAGCAGAATTCTTATAACTTTTCTGAGGAGACCTGAGGTCTTGGGAGAGCAAAGGTGCCAGGACATGTCTGCTTTTATAGCCCAGTGGTCTTGTTTAGCCCACAGACTGTGACTAGAATGTGTCCTTCTTGCATAATGCATGCTCAGCTTCATCTACATTTTCTCCAGGCTTGCCATTGCCAAGATAAATCCTTCTTTTCTCCCCCACCTTTGCTCACCATGTTCTGGGCTGATGGAGCATTTAGCACTCCTCTCCAACACCAGTTCTCGTTACAAGCCCCTGCATATTTAAAATCATTGTGTTGTAAAATCAGGAGAAGAAACAAGCCACTGTGAATAATTCACAACCTCACTCAGGCAAAATTAAAAATATATTTTACCATCAAAGGTCTTTCTTATTTTGAATTTCCACAGATGTGAGTGGCAAGAAGAAAAAGACATATCAATGGAAAGAAAAGTTAACCTATAAAAAAAGCCCCTCTCAATACTTTACTGGATCCTTACTTGACTGGCTTGGGCTCTGTAAAACATGGTCCTGAAAAGTTATTTCCTCAATAAAAATGAGTTTATCTTTACATAGACTTCATTAAGGCATGATGCGGGCACTCATACTCTTCAGTGCATGGAAACCTGCTTTCTCTCACATTTCTTGCTGGTGGAGCAGACTGTTTGAATGCCTGGATTGCAAGAGCAGTCGGAGGTTCTTTGAAGGACATTTACCACACAAGAGGCCATTTGAGTTCAATGGAACCACGCCAATTTACCTACCATCTCATTTGTGTGCGAATCATATGCACACATCTAATCTCATCTATGTCTCATCCGAGCATCTGCAGAATGCTTTGGGAACAGACAGATGGCCAGAAATTCCTCAAAGTTCACTACAAACTTTGCAGTGTGGCAAGGCTGGAGGTCAGGTACATTAGAAACAGCAAACTCTGTAGTAAAATTAAGACCCTTTACCACTGCAGAATCCCTCTTATGGAGACTAGTTCTTGAAAGAAAGGCATTTAAATGCACACCCCCAAAGGGGTAAAGAGTGGTAAAAATAGTATGAAGAGAGGGGGAAAAAAAATAAATCTGATTTTCACCCCTCCTATTTTCAAGCCTCAGTACGTGAATTGTTTATGCAGCACTAATCACAGCACATGCCCATGGATTAGTGGCCCTACAGTTGTCTGACTTAAGTCATCACCAACATATTCTGCTTGCACACACAAGCCTCTCTGCAGTCCTCACATGTATATATATATATATATATTGAATTTTACTTGACTCTCTTTTCAAAAGTCTATTTCATGTTACTGCTTTCACTTATGCATTCAGCACAGGCCTTTCTGGCCATCTCTTCCCCCTCTGCACATGCTCCCTGCCCAACTCCTTGAACTCCCTTTTCCTGGAGCTCTTTAAAATTCCTCTGCTTCCAGCAAGAAAGGATGTTTTTTCCTCTTGTGTTTAGTTTCATTCTGGAAAAAAATAGAGGGATCAACATACTCCATTGTCAAATGAAGGACAGGGGTGCAGGAATGACAGACAGGCTCCCCAGGTAAATGAAGCATGTTTATCTTGACGCACACCGGTAGACACACACCCTTGTCAGAGGAGCACAGGTGCACGCGTATCACGGATGCCAAACTCACACGTGTTGAGCTGCAAATTCATTTGCAAAGGCTATTTGTACTCTGGGGGTTTTCACATCATCTGACAGTGAGACAGGCTTTGGCTGGGGGAGCTGCAGCTTGAATCTGAGCTACCAGCCAGGCTCCACACAACATAGCCAAGGTTTGTGGATGCTGTCCATGTTCTTCACCACCCCACCACTGATATCCACATAAGAAAACTGCCCAGGTTGCCACCTACCTCCCAGGGTGGCAGAGATGAGGATGTGGGTGCCGTACTTTTTGATGATGGTATCAATGAACTGCTGCGTGGTGGGTCTTCTGCCCAGGAGGCGGATGCTCCTCTGAAACTCCGGCATCAGGGGCAGTGGGTTGTGGAGCAGGTCCCTCCTTTCGATGGCTGTGTTCCTCACCTTCCAACGGGCAAACTCCCTATGTGACAACACAGGAACACAACAGGGGTGAGGCTTCAAGTCCAGAGGGGCAGGGAGAGCCACCAAGGGCAGGATGGCAAAGGTGACAATCCTGTTGGACACCCCCTCATAGATACACACAAGGCTAGACAGCAGGGGAGGGGGAGGAGAAGAGGAAAGTGAGACATTACTGAACAATAACACCATATTTTGAGGATCAGGGTCCGGTCTGATGAGGAGGTAGTCTCAGTCTCCAACGGTGTCTGG